TTCAGTTTGCAAAAATTCAATGAGCTGTACACATATGATATGAGTATATATCTTTTCCGTGTATCTGTTATACTTCAATAAAAAGTTAAAAAAATAATTACATGGCCATGGAAACAAGGCCTGGATCGGACAGCAAGCAAAGACTCACAGACTCCTGGTGCCAAAAATGAAGTCCCCCATTTTACAGAGGGGAAGACTGAATAGTCAGGAAGTCCAGGGAGTCATCCAAAGTCATACTAACAAGCCAATGGTCAAGCCAGACATGGCACCAGTGCCTGATTCCAGCCCCAGACTCTTTCATTGAGTGGGCATGAAGGAACTTATATTGTGGCCACAAATCCAGTGATCTCTTTCCTTCTGTGCATCTTTATCCCTTTTTATTGAATTTACTTGAGAATCAAGGTTAGAGGAAATGTTTAGGCATATTTATTGCTAACCGACACTTTGGTTGCTTAACTGAGGTATATGGAGAACAGTACAAATGATTAGGGCTTGTGGCACACGGGGCTTCACATTCAGAAGTGCCCCAGCCTTGGTTTAATGCTCTGCTGTTGCCATCTTGAAATTCTTACTAATTTTAAACTAATTCTTACTAAAAACAGCATTTTGATTTTGTACTGTTTCCCACAGATTATGTGGCCAGTCCTGCAGATAAGTGTTGCTTTGTGTAATACAGGCAGTATGCAAGTTAAATATTTGTAATCAAAATCTATTTTAAATGAGCTAGGTAAATTCGTTATTTAAAGGCAAATCCTACACAAATCAGTTTTATACAAATAATAATCCCCTAATTTATTTTACTGCTAAGTTTTTGTACCACCAGTTGCCTTAAAACAAGAGATCAAATGGAAAGTGAAATAATAAGAATCTTGGAATAGTCAAATTTAAGAGTTGGAAAGAGATCTTAAAAATAATCTGATCCATCCCTCTTATTTTGCAAACGGAGAAAATGAGGTCTAAAGAAGGAGTGATTTGCAAAGGAATTGAGGTGGAACTATGGAGGTGGAAGTCAATGAAAGTTGATCAGCATGGAGCAATATTTGAAGACTCAGTGATATTTGGAAATTTCTGGTGAGATTTCTGGAGCACTTCTTTCTCCATCCCAGAACAAGTCTCTTAGCCAGGCCAAAGCATTAAACCTTGCTTTATGTGGAATCATTTGCTGGAGAGAAAGCATACAGGCAAATTGATTACATTTTATATAAAATAATTATCTAAATGTAGCATCTGCCCTTTGCAATGTCCACTTGGAAACAGAAATAGCTGTCAGAATGGCTCTGCCTCAAACACAGTTTGTTAACATCAACTTGACTCACTCAGTGTCAGCCACATGCAGATACCAGTGTCCAACAAAGACCCTGGCATCTGTCTGGGGTCCTGGGTTTGCATCCTAGCCCACCTCTGCTTGGCTTCACTGAACAGATTTAAGTGGCTGGGTCATGGCTGTGTTCTACTTTAGATCAATGACATTTCTTGGCCCAGAGAAAACATGAGTGAATTAAGGTTTTTCAGTATCTAGTATGGGCCAGGAGTTCTGCTGGGTGACAGGGCTGGCACACACCTCTGCTCTCAGGGAGTCTAGAGCCTGGTTAAGGGGGCAGGCACTGTTACAACTCCAGGCACTAAGTGCTGCAGTACAGATATGCAAAGGGTAATGCAATAGTGGGGCTACCTGGTAGAGCCTGGGAGGAAAGAAATGCTTTCTGAGTCTTAAAAAGGATGAGTACAAGTTAGCCTGATGAAGGGCCAGGAGGGGGATGACAGGGCAGGGAGGGCAAAGAACTCCAGGGGAGAGTGTGCACAAAGCTGGTGAATGGTTTTGAACATGGAAGTGATTTCTTTAGAAGATTACGGTGGCAGCAGCATGGACTATGGATAGTGGATGGTGGAGGCAAGATGATGGCAGGCAGTGGTCCAGGTAAGCAAAGATGAGAGTCTGAGCCGTGAGTGTCCCTCACTCCTTCTCAGAGAAGTGTCTGAAAACAGTGGGGAGGTGAAGCATCGGACCTGGTCACCTGTGAGTATGGGGGTAAGAAAAAAGACAGAGAGGCTCTGTTTTGTAGCCCAGGTGATGCGGGCACAGTGGTGCCATCACCTGACATAGGCTTTGCAGAAGGCAGAGGAGATTTAAAGGGAAGGGGGATATGTTCTTGGAGATGCTGAGTTTGAGGTGCCTACGGAACATCTAGATGGATAACTTTCACCATTTCAAGTAGAAATATTTGAATCTTTTCTTAAAGTTGTCTGCATATGTGTTTGCGATCATTGGATAAATGAGTTTAAAGCACATGTGTGCATGTAATATGCACTATCATGCATCTTCATTTCAAGTGAATGTGCATATCATTAGGTATTCATTTTTTAAGCCATGTCTAAGGAGAAGCGAGCAGGGAAGTTAGAAAACTACAGTTTTATTGCTAGCAAGAGCCATAGTAATCACAGTCTACATGAAGCAATGGGAGCTCAGCGAGACTAAGTGGCTCTCCCCAGGTGTCCCAGCTATTAATGACAGCTGGGACTCCACCCAGTGCTCTTTCCATCACCCCATGCAAGTCACCTGCCTAAAGTGTGCCACAGTGTGTGTCCCATGCCAACCTCCCATTTTAAAGGAGAGCTTTGAAAACCTTTCTTCTGGCAGCCTCTTCTTCTGCCTGCCACCTAATCGTGATTTTATTGCTTCCCTCCTCCTCAGGTCCCAACTTTATCCTTGCCTTCTCTCCCCCACTTGCTTTAAAGTTTTTTGAGGAGTGCCTTGGAGGAAGCCCTCATGACCTGGTAGTTAATTCCATGGTTTCCAGCGAGGTGGGAGCCCGCTGAGCCCCGTCAGTGATGGTGGTCTGGTCGCCTTCATTTGCTCTGAGGGCCAGCAGCATCTTGAATAGTTAGAGGCACAGGGGAAGGCAAAGCAGGTCATCTTGGACTGGCTTTTCCTTCCAACAGTTCTTTTCAGCGAGAGAAAAAGTATTATCAGAATCCAGGTCAAGCAGGTGTTAGCATCTACTAGGACTTCTGAAGTAATTTTAAGGAATAGTTTTTGAATAATTCTGCCTCAGCCTTTCAAATCACACTCTATCCTAAATTCATTTTTCTTTAAAGATTGACACCTGAGCTAACATCTGTTGCCAATCTTGTTTTTTTCCTTCTTCTCCCCAAAACCCCTGAGTACATAGTTGTATATTCTAGTTGTGAGTTCCTCTGGTTGTGCCATGTGTGACGCCGCCTCAGCATGGCTTGATGAGCAGTGCCATGTCCATGCCCAAGATCCAAATCGGTGACACCCTGGGCCACCAAAGCTGAGTGCACGAACTTAACTGTTCGGCCATGGGGCCGGCCCCCATCCTAAATGCTAAGAAGGGAAATTATGACGTGTCATTGCCGACACTTCATTTTACATCAAGTTTATACCTATCAGGGGCCTCTTATACCATCAACGTTGTGTGTAGCAGAATTGTGTCCAAATTATAGAAATTAGCACAGAGTGTTGCTTTCTAAAATGATTATAGGTTTATAGTAGAATTTGCATGGTAGGACAAGTTTCTCTGTCCTTGGACCTTCGTTGTCTTACTTTATGCTTTCTTCTGATGGAGATGAGATATGAGAACTTTAAGTGTGATGTAGAATCAAATTTAGGCTGCGAGAAGTCATGTGTATTGGCAAGAGGGAGCTTGTCTGTGGTCACCATGGAAACTGAAGTAGGTACCCTGGGCCAGCAGTGGTGGAAAAGGAAGCAGGGAAGGAAGGCAAAGCAGGACAGGAGCCTACAGACTCGCATGAGCAGAGCTTGGTACAAGATGGGGAACCATAAAAACATTTGTGACACTTCTGTGCTCCAAGTGTGTTCCAGATTTGCCTTGAGTGAGGCTGGGCTCTTTCTGATAAAGGACTGTGCCTCCACCTCACCATGCAAGGCAGCAGGTTCCATTTGCTTTTATGACATGTTGGTAAAGGCCATGATACATGGGGATGTTGAGCCTTTGGTCAGGAATGCATAATAATAATGAAAATTATGCACTATCATTTATTGACCATCTAGTATGTGCTGAAACACCATTCTAAGTATGCAGCTTGACCAAAGTCTTAAAGTCAGGATAGTGGTGCCCAGACCACAACTCGGGTCACAGGGCTGCCATTTTAGAGCTCTTTTCACTGTACTATACTGCCCAAGGTTTGTAATTTAGTAGGGAGGTGTATATGCACATGAAGGTGGAAAAGTTAAGACGCCAAAGAATGAATCTTAGATGGTAGATTTTTAGGCACGTGATAAGAGTGGGATTTTGTCTAGCTTTCTGAAAATAGTGCCTGACCAGGTCAAGGATCTGCTGTAGAATGTGGTTGTTGGGAAGGTTCAAGATAACAAATGGTAGAGAACCTGACACAGTGACTGGCACACAGTGGTGATTAATAAACGAAATATATGAGCTCTAGAGGGCCTCTCACACTGCGTATTTGAAGCCCTCCTTCCCTACTGCCCCACCTCATGAGAGCCACTAAACATAGTATGTAGCAATTTGATCGACTTCAGAGAGCTCATCTTCCTTGGGAATGCCTGGTGTGCCCTGGGTTTGGAGACCCATGGGGCTGGTTCTGCCAGGCCCAAAGGGTTCACCAGGTAGGTCCTGAACAACCTTGCTCAGTCCTAAGGTTCCATTTTTCACTAGTGCTGTTTCTACCCAGGGCTGGGGCGGGAAGCTTGCTTCCAGATGCAGCTTGTCAATCCCAGACCACAGATGGGGAGGGTTTTCTGACTCCTGGCCTTGTGCAGGGACCCATTCTGGCTGACTGCATTGGACTCTCCTTTCTGTCCAGGCTTTAAAACCTCTGCCCTTAATGTATCTAAGACTCACATCCTGAGGGCTTCATGGCTTTGACTCCCACCTACTGCGCTATCTAAATTCTCCTTCTTTCCGGCTCCTGGGAATTTCCCTTTCTTGTTTGCATGAGTATTAAAGAGAAACCTTGTTAAGCTTTGAGCATTCATGTCATTTGTTCAACGACCCCAGGCCCACAGGAAGCTTAGGCAACCAATTTTGGACCTGTTTGAAACCAACTTCCCTATATCAGAAACAGGAAAAGAAAGAAGTTACACTCTGCCTCATGAGCCAACTGGAGAACTGAGCTCAGCATCTTGCCTTATTGGTGCACATTCTATTCACATAATGAAGTTCTTTCATTTTCTGCTTGGAGAGACCTGCTGACCTCACACCTGAATGAGGCGATGTCGTCCTCCCTTCCAGGTAAGCAACATATCCAGCTGTATGTCAGACCCTGTTTGGTGGTCTTTGTTTCTTTCTGTCCAACACATATCTATATCTATCTATCTCTCTATATACAATATATTTATAAATAAAAATAAAATATTACATATAAATATGAAATATGTAGTATATAAAATATATATTTATATAAATATATATTCATATTCCAACCTTTCTGTATATTTGGAGCAGAATTTGGGGTCGGATTGGTTTACACATCTGTTAAGCCTACCACCTTGTCTGGAAGTGTTGGTAACTTCTGCAGCATTCACAACATTGGCTCACGTTGTAATAACTCCACAAAAGTCCTCAAGGTCAGGGGACGAGGGACAAAAGTGACTGAACAAAGAGGGAGTGCCGAAAGTGTCCTTCCATGATGTAGAAGGGCTCTCAGCTGCCCCGGCCAAGGGCATGGCTCGCTCTTCAACCCAAAGTCACAGAGGCAGAAGGGCCACTTTCTGTGTAGTCAGGAATCTGGGTTCTCACCATCAGCAGCCATATGGGTTTGGGAACATTCGTCAGCTGGAGAACTTGCTGATCTGGAAAAAGAGACTTTTCACAGGACAGCCCAAAATATTTTCTTAAACTTATGGAAAATTGGTAGTGACTTTCTTCAGGTGCCAGCTGCTGACAAGTATTTTTGTTTAAAGATATACCAGGTGGAAAAATAGTAGAATGTTTCAAGGAACATTTCAGTGGATGAGGGTTGGCTGTTCCAGGGGTCACTTGAAAGAAAAATCACCCTTGGTGTGACTAACACACTCAGAGTAGAGTGTGAGGAATTCAAGCTGAATTCTGAATGGAGGCAGTCTCTTTAGGTGACTTAGAATATGTATGTTGGGGCCCAGACCTTGACTGGGTCTGTTCCAACCGAGGGCTCAACACTTACTCCCTGGGCATCTTGACCCCTCTCTGCCTCGGTTTCCACATCTGTAAAATGTAGATAAAAATTGTACCTACCTATGGAACATTGTAGCATTAGGTGATTTAATGCAGGAAAAGGATTTGGAATAGTCATTGACACACAGTGGGCATGACATAAACTTTGCTATTATCATATATAATGGGATGTTAAAAATCTCAGAGGTTTGTTTTGCTGACACCTCAGTGCTGAAAACAGTAGGGATCATGTACTCCCACCTTCCAATGTGAATCACTAAACCAACCAGACCATCTATGTTGCAAAAGGGGTGGCCAGAGTCAGGGAGGTTGAAGATTACACGGAGGGGAGTGTTTCTTCAGAGAGAGTTGTTGAACTGTGGAGTTTCTGCTTTCCAGGGAACGGAGGTACTTCTCTATGACTTTCAGTCAAGTGAGAAAAATGTGTCAAGGAACCTACCCCGACAGCTTGGCCTGCTCTCTCAGATTTTAGAAATGTGAGGGAAGGTCCCTGACACACACCTGGAAAAGTCTATAGGTGAGAGGCTGTAGCTAACGAGAGCAGAGCAGAAAAAGAGAGCAGCATAGGGAAGAAAGGAAGTCACTTTTTGGGGGGAGGGAGCTTGCAAAGATATAGATCCCTTGGAAGGGATCCTGCCATGAGCTGTCTTGAAAAGGACACTTCCCAAGAGAGCAAAAGAACAGCCTTTCTGGGGTGAAGCGATCTGGGTGGAAAGAGGCTGGAAGGATACTGCTACACGCAGAGGCTGAGGGTGGCAGGGGGAGTCATAAATGGCCAGCAGGAAGGAGCATCATCACACCAGGGAATTGCAGTTGACGCCCTTGTGTGTGTGTATGTGTTGGAAGGAGGAAGAGAGTATCTCTAGCAAACGCGAAAGATGTTCCAGGGGAAAAAAAGAGTTAGCATTTGGACATCCAGCCCTCCAGGGGGCGTCAGTGCCAGATTACAATTGTACCAGTCAAGAAACACCATTTGTGCTGCTTTCCTACCTTCATCTCACTCCCTAGGGAAGCCCAAAGCCGAATTGTGGGTGGGGATAGGAAGAATAGATAAACAACATGGGGAAATAAGGTTGAAGCTGCCCCTATGCCCTTTTCCTTCCACACTGCAGGGTTTCAAGCCTGCCTTAGACCTAATGGAGGAGAAGTTTTACATTAGATGAGAGTTTGCAGTCAGCAAAGTGGGTTTGCAGAGGCAGATGTGAAAGAAATTAGTTTTCAGAACTTGCTCCTTATCAAATTCAATGGTTTTAGGTCAATTTTCCTAGAAGCAGAGCCTGAGATGGGTATGCAGGTGCCCAGAATTTACTGACAGTGCTCTCAGGAGAAACCTGTACGGGATGGAGTGAATCAGGACAGGGCGCGGGGAAGAAGCCAAGCAAAGATGTGGTCTCAGGTAAAGTCTAACCTAGGCCTGATCCATAAGATCTGTGGACCACAAATAACACCTCACAGATGGCCCATCTTGAGGGGAGGGCAGTGGCCTTAGTCAGTCCACTGGTAACCTCCTGGGTGAATTGGCTCCTGTCAGCTGAGGATAATTCTTCAGAGAAGGGGGCAAGCTTTGAACCATTAACAGCCAACACTCAAACCAGCTGAGAGATGGGTGCTCCAGCCCAGTAAAAGGGATCTGGGTGGGCACCAACAGTGACGACTACAATAACCTTATTCCATACAGGCTGTTCTTTCCAGGGAACTTCAGCAGCCCCTTTAAAATGTTCTTACATGCGGTTGATATCTACCTTAGATTCCTGGTCTTACAAAATGCTCTGTCTATGAACTACGCACTGAGGTCGAGCAAGTTCCTCTAGCCAATTTGTGCCTCTACATTGGGCCTAACGTATAGCACCCTTCTTTTTGGAACTCAGTGTTTTCACTAGACTAATAGTAGTGCAACATAGCATACCCATATGTATTCCTCCTTCCTAGGGTAAGAAACTGGGTGAGCTCTTGTGCACCTCTAACATTTGTGGGGTCCAAAGCAAGAGCACGAACTGAGGCCTACATCCCATGTATCTACATATTTAAAAGTTATAAATCAAGCTAAGCAACTGTTAAATAAAAATTATATCCTTCTACATTGACGTATATGCCTTCATAACGGCCAGGAAGGCCAGATTTGAGTTTCTAATTTTCAGATTTCTTGAATTTCCATGCTGGGATGAGATGGCAGTGGAGAACAGTCCCCCAGTCTATGGCCCATCTACCCTCCTCTCCCATCCCTAGTTCTAGCCTGTTCTGTGAGGGACCTGTACACAAGTGTATTAGTCTTCTTATGCTGCCATAACAAAATACCACAGGCTGGGTGGTTTAAATAACAGAAATTTATTTCTGACAGTTCTGGAGGTTAAAAGTCCCCGATCAAGGTGCTGGCTGATTGCACTCTTGGTGAAAGTTTCCTGGCTTTCAGTTGGCTGCCTTCTTGCTGCATCCTCACGTGGCCTATCCTCTGTGGAACGTAGAGAGGGAGCTCTCCTGCCTTTTCCTCCTCTTCTAAGGACACCCGCCCTGTTGGATTTAGACCCCACCCTTTTGACCTTACTTAATCTCTACTACCTCCTGAAGGTCCTGTCTCCAAATGTAGTCACAGTGGGGGTTAGGGCTTCAACAGAGGATTTTGGAGGGGACACAATTCGGTCTATAACAACAAGCTTGTGGATATCTCAGCCTGGACATCCAAGCTCTATCCATGTAGCCTGCCCAAAGTCCTATTTTGGCCACCCATCAGTCTTTGAGGGGCTCATCTCAGCAACATGGTCTACTCTTGGAAAAATTAACCCAGAGAAAAAGCCTGTAGCCTGGGAAATGGGCTTGGGACCTTTTGGATGGGGATTTTCAAGGTCCTAGAACTCGACCTAGATCAGTGCTTTCCAAAGCAATGATGGAAATGTTCTGTATTTGGACTGTCCAATATGGTAGCCACTAGCCATATGTGTAATTAGTGTGACTAAGGAACTAAATTTTAAATTTTATTTAATCTTAATTAATTTAAATAGCCACATGTGGCTAGCAGCTACCAGATTGTTCAGTCAGTGCAGATCTAGAAGTTGGGGAGCAGGCTCTGTGCAAACATGTCCTCTGACCCCCACAGACTCCTTGTCCTGTGGATATGTAGCAGGTTGTATTTTCCAAATACGGCCAAACCTACATCCACATATTTATCCCATCCCACATGCTCTTCTTACAATGTGTTTGACACACCTTTCTACCAAGAGGTAGGGTCTGTGTTTCCACTCGGCAGGGAATTGTGACTGCCTGGACCAAGCAAGTATGGTGAAAATGATAATATGGACTTCCAAAGCTAAGTCATAAAAGGACATAGCTTTTAGCTTCTGCCTCTCTCTCTCTCATACACACACAGAGACACATACACAGACACACATATATACTTTCTCTCAACAGTTTTGCTTTTGAAACTGTAGAAATAAGTGAAGGCCCCCCAGATGAGAACAAGGAAAGGCTATTTAATCCAGAGCTTGCTGTAGTAAGGGAGTCAGCCACCATCACTTGGGTTTTGCAGAGCTCTAAAGACAGGGAGAGGAGTGGGAAAGCTATAAAGTGGAGAAAATGAAGGCTTCAGGTGTGCCCTGATTGGAAGTGGGCGGCATGGGGAAGCTGTGGGTGGAAAACCAGAAGTGGGGCATCCTATGTGATTGGTTAGGGGAACATATTTGGCTTTCTCTTGTTGGTCCTAAGTTGGAAGTCGGGGCAAAAATTAGAGAAGCTGTCAGTTATTGATCAGGTCCTGGCCATTTTGGGCTTTTGGGGGGCCATTTTGATGCAGAGGTTGCGGTTGGCTTCCTGGGCTGGTTGTTGTAATTTGCGGGTCAGAGTTCTATTTTCATTTATGGTCTAGCCATTGACCATTTGTTTATTCAGTCTCTCAGAACCCAGCCACCATCTTGTGAGGAAGCTTCCCACGTGGAGAGGGCCTAAGGACTTCTGACAGCAGCCAAAACCAACTTACCAGCTCTGTGAGCGAACCACCTTGGAAGTCTGTCCTCCAGACCAAGTGAAGCCTTCAGATGACTGTAGTCACACCTAACATCTGACTATGACCTCACGAGGGACCCCTAACCAGAACCACTCGGCTAAACTACTGCCGGATTCACAACCCACAGAAACCATGAAAGACATAAATGGTCATTGCCATCTTAACCCGCTAAGTTTTGCAGTGATTTTTTTTATGCAGCTTTAGAGAACAAAGGAGAGGAGTGCAACAGAAAGGGGCCATCCCAGAACCCTCAAAGGTGTGGGGCCTAGGACAGGGCCTCTTTTGCCTGGATTTAGGGCCGTACTGAGGAAAGGATATGGATTTTATTTCAGTAGCTGGGTATTTCCTAGGGAGGGATGAGCTTATTTATACAAAAGAGGAACTTGCAGGACTGAGCAGGTGTTGGAGATCAGGAAATGTTTTTATAAAAGCTGTAACAAAGCAGCCCTTTATCTGGAGTATACAAAGAAATGAAAATCTAATGAGACCATTTATTTGCTTGATTGTATAAACACACAAAAATGTACACATCTTGGAATAGTCACAGCGGAAGGAGATCTGCTTAAGCCAGTGATGCCGTCTGTCACTTTTCAAAAATGCCTGTGAAACTTCTCTTTCGGAATTGCCCACAAAGCTGGATTACGAGCTTCCCATGAAACCAGACTCATCACTCAAGCTGCGACTTGGTTTGTGACCCCAGACAGCATTTCCCAGCTTGATCACCCAACCTACTCAGCAGACTTCGTTCTGAATGACTTAGAACTGTTTCCAAAACTCACACCCGCCCTTGGAGGATACATGCTGTCAGACTTATCTTTCTGCCACACCTCGGATCATGCGCTTCAGTGCCTCTCGGTTGCATAGAGAATTAAGCTCCAACATGTCAGCTAGATTTTCAGAACTTTATACAACATGCAGCCCCCACCTAGCTTTGCAGTTCTATCATCCCAGAACACACGATGCCCTCTCTACTTACTGATGATAGGTACCATTTACTGAGCCCTTATTATGTGCCCCACACTGTGCTAAGAGCTTAATATAATCTCTCATTTTGTCCTTATATGACTTTGTAAGATAAATGTTATCTCTATAGTATAAATAATAATAAAACAGGGGTCACTAACACTTTGTACAGCAGTTACAATGTGCTAAGCCACCGTCCAATAGAAATATGAGCCATATTTGTCATTTTAATTTTCTAATTGCCACACTAAAAAAGTAAAAACTAGGTGAAATTGATTTTAATAAAGTATTTTATCAATGAGCATTTAATCAATATAAAAACTTTTTAATGATATATATCATATTCTTTTTTAGTGTGTATTAAATCTTTGAAATCCATTGTGTATTTTACACCTACAGCACGTCTCAATTTGGACACTAAATTTTTATTGGAAATACTTGATCTATATTTAAATATTGTAAAAAGTACAGTGAAAAAAGTAGATTCACATACCCAAGTTGTTCCAAACATGCTTAAAAGATTTCCAATACCTGAATCAAGTACCAAATAATCATTTTTTTCTATGCTCATCCCTATTGACAAAACTGATTTAATTTTAAACTTTTAACTTCACTTTCAATCAATTAAAATTAAATAAAATTAAAAATTTAGTTTCTCAGTTGCACTAGCCACTTACCAAGTGCTCATGTGGTTAGTGGCTGCCATGTTGGGCAATGCAACTCTAGGCACTTTACTACTGTCAACACAAACGTTTGAGGTAGCTTCATTTTACAGATAAAGAAATAGAGGCATAGAGAAGTAGTAACTTGCACTAGTATACACAGTTAATAAGCTGATGTTCAGAATGGTTGATTTACCTTAGCTAGTAAAGGTTGGAAACAGGATTTGAACTCAGGATTGTTTGTGTCCAAAGTCTAAATTCTTATCCACTGTGCTAGTCTGCTCTACAGACTTAATTTCTCACTATTCTCCTAAAATCCTTACTTTCTTGATTCTGGTCTTTTTATCAGACTGTTTCCTCTGTCTAGAATGCCATGGAAGGCCCATTTTGAATGTTATTCATTCATTCAGACAGTCATTCAGTCAATCACTTTTTCAACAAATATTGCCAGCCATGTTTCAAATATCTCCCACGTGAAATACAGCCGTGATCAAGACAGACGTCCCCCCTGCCCGCACAGAGCTTCAATTCTGCCGTAACGCTTCTCACACTTCGGTCTCAGGATTCTGTAACACTCTGAACGTTATTGAGGACCCGAAGGGCTTTTGATTATGTGAGTTATAGCTGCCAATCTTTATTGTACTAGAAATTAAAACTAGGAAATTGTAAAAATATTTATTCATTCATTCAAAAATAACATGATGAACATATTACATGTAAACATAAATAATGTATAACTGAAAAGACAACTATATTTTCCAAAACAAAAAATAAGAGTAGCATTGTTTTATAATTTTGCTAATCTCTTTAATGTGTGACCTAATAAAAGGCAGCTGGGTTCTCATCTCTGCTTTTGTCTTTAATCTGTTGCAATTTGTCATTTTGGTTGAAGTATGTAAGAAAATCTTGCCTCACTAAGATATATAATTGGAAAACAGAGGAGTATCTTAAATGCTTTTTCAGATAATTGCGGAAATTCTTCTTTGTTACTATACCAAAAATCAACAAGTGCTAATTTCTTTAAAGTTAGCTACAATGTGGAATCTGAAACCATATCAATGGTAAATATATGTTTCATTGATCCTTTCTATTGTCTTTTTTGTTTCAATATCGTTTATTTCTGCTCTTATTTTTATTATTTCCCTCCTTCTACTGACTCTGGGCCTTGTTTGTTCTTCTTTTTCTAGTTCTGTTAGGTGTCGTTTGAGGTTGCTTACGTGAGCTTTTTCTTGTTTAGTGAGGTGAGCCTGTATTGCGATGAATTTCCCTCTTAGGACTGCTTTTGCTGCATCCCAGATGATTTGGTATGTCGTGTTCTCATTTTCATTTGTCTCCAGATAATATTTGATTTCTTCTTTAATTTCTTCAATGATCCATTGTTTGTTGAGAAGCGTGTTGTTTAGTCTCCACATTTTTGCACCTTTCTCTGCTTTTTTCTTGTAGTTGATTTCTAGTTTAATAGCGTTATGATCAGAAAAGATGCTTGATATTATTTCAACTCTCTTGTATTTATTGATGTTTGCTTTGGTTCCCAAAATATGGTCAATCCTTGAGAATGTTCCATGTGCACTTGAGAAGAATGTGTAACCTGCTGTTTTTGGATGAAGTGTTCTATATATATCTATTAAGTCCATCTGGTCTAATTTTTCATTTAATTCTATTATTTCCTTGTTGATTTTCTGTCTGGATGTTCTGTCCATTGGTGTTAATGGTGTGTTGAGGTCCCCTACTATTATTGTATTGTTGTTGATGTCTTCTTTTAGTTCTATTAAGAGTTGCTTTACAAATTTTGGTGCTCCTGTGTTGGGTGCGTATATATTTATAAGTGTTATGTCTTCTTGGTGGAGAGTCCCTTTTATCATTATATACTGTCCCTCTTTGTCTTTCTTTATCTGTTTTGCTTTGAAATCTACCTTGTCTGATATTAGTATAGCGACACCTGCTTTCTTTTGTTCATTATTAGCTTGGAGTATTGTTCTCCATCCCTTCACTCTGAGTCTGTGTTTGTCTTTGGGGCTGAGGTGTGTTTCCTGGAGGCAGCATATTGTTGGATCTTGTTCTTTGATCCATCCTGCCACTCTGTGTCTTTTGATTGGGGAGTTCAATCCATTTACATTTAGAGTGATTATTGAGACGTGGGGGCCTACCACTACCATTTTGTGTCTTGTTTTCCGGTTTTCTTCAGTTTCCTTTGTTTCTCGTCCCATGGTTTAATCTGTTCTGATGTAGAGCTGCTACTCTCTGTTGTTGTCCTTCTACTTATCTCCTCTGCTCTTGGTTTTGTAGCTCCTTTCCTTTTTTGGATTTTTCAGGAATGAGGGTTTTCCTGAGGATTTCCTGAAGAGGAGGTTTTGTGGCAATGAACTCCCTTAATTTTTGTTTATCTGGGAAAGTTTTTATTTCTCCATCGTATTTGAAGGATATTTTCGCTGGGTAGAGAATTCTCGGCTGTAGGTTTTTGTCCTTCAGATTTTTGAATACATCATTCCACTCTCTTCTAGCCTGTAAAGTTTCTGCTGAGAAATCTGCTGATAGCCTGATGGGGGTTCCTTTGTAGGTTAGTTTCTTTTGCCTGGCTGTCCTTAATATTTTCTCCTTGTCGTTGACTTTTGCTAGCTTCACTACTATATGCCGTGGAGTTGGTCTTCTTGCATTGATAAAGTTTGGAGATCTATTGGCTTCTGTCACCTGAAGATCCATCTCCCTCACCAGATTTGGGAAGTTCTCAGCCATTATTTCTTTGAATAGGTTTTCTGCCCCTTTCTCCTTCTCTTCTCCCTCTGGTATACCTATAATCCTTACGTTGCATCTCCTAATTGTGTCTGATAATTCTCGGAGAGTTTCTTCATTTCTTTTAAGTCTTGCTTCTCTCTCCTCCTCTGCCTGCAACAATTCTATATTGCCATCTTCCAAATTGCTAATTCTTTCCTCCATATTATCGGCCCTACTGTTCAGAGCATCTAGATTTTTCTTAATCTCCTCTATTGTGTTCTTCATTTCCAATATTTCTGTTTGGTTCTTCTTTATCGTATCAAACTCTTTTGTGACATAGCTCCTGAACTCGTTGAGTTGTCGGTCAGAATTCTCTCTTAACTCATTGAGAATTTTAATGATGGTTGTTTTGAAGTCATCATCATTTAGGTTATATATCTCATTTTCTTTGGGATTGTTTTCTGTGTACTTGTTACTTTCTTTCTGTTCTGGAGATTTAATGTATTTTTTCATATTGCTTGATGTTGTTGATTTGTGCCTCCGCATGGAGATAGAGTTTAGTTGCTCCTTTCACTTGTTTCAGCTGCTGCGGTGGGGGGAGCAGCTGTTTATACTGCACCAACCAGGAACCCTGTCCGCAGTTGCTAACTGGGCCTGGGCCCCTCTTCGTAGCCACAGTGGCCCTTTGGATTCCCTCCTCTGCCGTGGGGGCCGTCACGGGGGGCTTCAGGCTGCAGGTGCCTACTGTTGTTCCCACCTAGATGCGCTCTCTCCTTGGGGTCTGCAACGGTGTTATGGGCTTTTCCAGCGGCCAGGGTGGGATCACTTATATTTGTCGCTCCGTTGCTGTCGGCACCCACCAAATCTCACTTGTCCTCTATGGGTCGCAGGAGAGCTATTGGCATCTTCTACAGTCTGTGGTTAGTACACCTAGCTATGCTGCTTTTGCCCTGGGGTCTTCCAGCCTTGTGGCTGGCGGCTGGGTGCCTTCTACTGGTGCTGTGCAGAGGCTTTCCCTAAGGCTTCTGTGAGCCTGTAGGGTTTCCCCCTAGGCTACTAAGCTGGGTCTCTGGAACTCTCTCCAGCCCCAGTCCTCTCCGAGATCTCCGGCAATCCCTAGCCTCACCGGGTGGGCAACGGCAGCTGGGGGTCGCCCCGTCCTCTGGGCTTCTCTCCGGGCCTCTGCCGGGAGCTCTGAATGCTCAGCGTGGCCCCTCTGCTACCGGCAGACAGAGAGTTTTGTCTGCTGCCTGGCGGAGCTCCGGCGCTTCCCCTCCGGGTCGCCGGACCCGCCTTTGAAAGTTCCCCCGCCCCGGTCCTCTCCGAGATCTCCGGCTATCCCTAGTCCCACGGGGCGGGCAACGGCAGCTGGGGGACACCCCGCCCTCTGGGCTTCTGTCCGAGCCTCTGCCGGGAGCCCTGAATGCTGGGCGTGGCCCCTCTGCTAATGGCAGACAGAGAGTTTTGTCTGCTGCCTGGGGGAGCTCCGGCGCTTCCCCTCCGGGTCGCCGGACCCGCCTTTGAAAGTTCCCCCGCCCCGGTCCTCTCCGAGATCTCCGGCAATCCCTAGTCCCACGGGGCGGGCAACGGCAGCTGGGGGTCGCCCCGCCCTCTGGGCTTCTCTCCGGGCCTCTGCCGGGAGCCCTGAGTGCTCAGCGTGGCCCCTCTGCTACCGGTAGACAGAGAGTTTTGTCTGCTGCCTGGCGGAGCTCCGGCGCTTCCCCTCCGGGTCGCCGGACCCGCCTTTGAAAGTTCCCCCGCCCCGGTCCTCTCCGAGATCTCCGGCAATCCCTAGTCCCCCGGGGCGGGCAACGGCAGCTGGGAGACCTCCGTGCCCTCCGTGTCTCTCTCTGGGACCCTCCGGGCGCCCCGAGCACCAGGCTGTGTCTCCCCGCCAATGGCGGGGAGAGACTCTCCCCGCGGGCTCAGGTGTGCAACTCCAAAGTTTCCCTCTGCGTTTAGGAGTAATTGCGGGGGGTTTAAGTAGGGTTCTGGTCACCTGTTTCCACCGTCGCTCCTCTGTTGTGTTCTCGCTCCTGCCCTAGATGTGTGTGGATCCTCTGGGGGCGTCCGTTGGAAGAAAGCCGCTTGCGGGTACTAGGCTGCCCGTCGGGGTCGGAGAGTTTTCACCTATTTCCACATCCTCCCGGAGGAAAGTCCGTCCGCCTTCCGATGTATAGTCGCGTGGGTGTCTCAGACGTCCTGAGATGCTGTCTGGATATCCTTTGTCAAGCGATAAGTGTCCAAATAATTGTAGACTCGAAGGGCGAGAGACAAAGAGGACTACTCACGGCGCCATCTTGGAATCTCTCTCCAATGGTAAATATATGAAATAAGCTTTTCATATGTTAAAATTACATTAAAACTCCTTAGTCCATCTTTCACTTTCCATGGATCCTACATATGATTTGTAACAACATGCTTTGTTTATTTGGAAGACATTGATTCACTGAGTTATACCACTCTTTCAAATGTCGACACATTTCCTTATACAGTTTGTAAAAATTGTGTTCATTAACATCGGCATTGATCACACCAGAAAAGTCTTTAAGCCTTGGGAAGCTGTCAAAACTGTAATGATAAATACAATTTCCTAAAATTCTCATTTTTATTTGAATGCTCGAATTTCACTATTTCCAACACTCACCATGAGTTGTTTTTCTTGAAGTGACAGACCCACTTTGTTCATTTTTGAGAAAATGTCTGCCAAATACTTAGGTCTAGTATAACCATGATTTAACTGCTGTTGTTCTTTCAAGTAAAGATGGTGTTCCCTGGAAAACGCATCTAGCTCAGCTCCCAACCCCAGCCTCACACCAGCGCTTTGCCTAGAGGTGACCATCGTCCTCCAGTGCACAGCAGAAGTGCTTATGCACACCTCCCATTTTGTCGTGCAGAATATTAAATAGATGTACTCAAGGGTCAGGATTTAATAAAATTAATCATTTTCACTGCCTAATCAAGGACATTAGGTAAAACTAGCTTTTTTTTTCCTATGAGCCAGTGGGTGAAGAATCCAATGACTAACGCTGCAGTTTGTTGCCACTGCCTTGAATTGTCCTAAGGCACCAGCAGTTTTGCCCACCTTTGCTTTTGTACCATTAGTGCAAATGCTGATAGAGTGAAAAAGGT